ATCTGTCATAATCAGTTTGACGCTTTTTTTTTCTCTCTTCCCAATGTTGACACTGAAGGTGCAGAAAACATAAAAAAAAACGCAAACATACTTTTGGGTGGCATTCAATTTGTCACATTACTCCTTTGCGAATAAAATAAAATTTAAATTCTAAAATAAATTTTTTGGATACGACTCAAAACGGAGAAAGGTTTGTCATAATTTTGTTTACGATTCTCACGAAAATTGTTAATTTTATTAACCAAAAAAAGATAGGTATTTACATAGTTTGTTTCAATCATCGATGGATATGTGATATTAAATCAAGAACCGCCGTTCTCTGAAGAACTCTGACTGCGGACTGTGATTTATTCTTTCGACAACTTTATTCGGCATTAGTAATGAAGCCGAATGAGGCAAATGAGTGAATAATCAAAGAAATGTTATGCAAAACGATTCGTATTATTGTGACATAGGCGCTATCCCGAACAAATGTTTCGAAGAATGAAAAAAATAAAAGAATTCAAATTCCTTTTTTTAGAAAACCATTTTAAGTATCTTTTCTTTCGTTATGCGCCATTCGATGCTGTTGAGATAAAATGATGAATAGATAACATTGAGTAAAAACGACGTGATAGTTAACATTATTATACTCGTCGTCGTCGATGGCACTAAAAGTTAGGAGAATTCTAGCTGAAAAAATATGAGAACGAATGTGTTTTAATTAGGTAAAACTCACCTGTCATCTAAATTTAAATTTAAGAATGTGTTAAATAACCAAACAAAGCGATCTGAATAGAGCGTCAAATTCAAAAAACAAAAAAATGCTTTTCGGCTGTCCTCATCCAAATCAAATAGAGAATATTATGAAATCCACTTTTCTCATCAATCGAAGATCTTAACACCTTGGAAGGAACAGCATCGAAAATCATTAATATCTTTGCCGATGTATATTGGCATAGGTTATAAATTTACGTAAACATCTTTATGTGTCTATTAAATTTCACGTGTTCAAATTCATATTTTTGCCATAAAATAAACGGTGCCATTTTTTTATTTGTATTTTGTTAGCATGATCAAAGATTTGTTTATCGTTTATTTCGAATAAAAATACAATATATGATGAACTGTGTGTTTAGTGCTATCGCGTACCTTTGGCTTGAATCTATTTGAGCATTTTTTTTATTTGTTATGCTAATGTTTGTAAGCGTTGGTTTTTATTCTTGTTTGACACGAAAGAGTTTCGTGTCAATTGTTGAAGGTGTCATTTTACGAATGCTCAATGAATTGTGTATTTTGCTCATTACATATTCTTCTCGAAATGATTTTATGAAAAAATCATTTAAATTTGAATGGGATATATAAGCTTATACAGAGTTAACAGAATTTAAAGCCCGTTGAAAACTACATTGAATTTATGCCATTTTGAACAAATTGTGTACCAGAAAAGAATCAAAAAGAGAAAAGAAACAAATCATTATTCAATGCACTATTAAAGATGAAATTTCCACGATCAAACACTAACACACGTCAATTCGAATTTCAAATTCAAAATCTACGTTGAATCAAGCAACATTGAATAATGTATAAAAATTCATATGTGAGCTGACAATGTGTTCTGGTTTTTTTTTCTTATTCACTTCACTTAAAATATAAAGTTTGAATGAAGACAGAGCGCACCTCGAATTTCTAATTTTCAGATTGCGGGCGTTGTACATCAACTGCATTAAAATGAGACAGACAAACATGATGTGCTTGGTTCGACATTCATTTGGGTTATTCGTGTCATTTGTTGATTTTTCAACAACAATTATTTTTTGAGAAAGTTGAATCGAACATCAAATGGTTAAGAAATTCAAATCGAGACGCTAAAGTGACATCAAATTAAAATTATATTCAAGAACATCGCAAATGGCGCACTTCACGTTGTGCGTGGATCAATTGGATATGCACGAAAGTTGGAAGTGCCGAACAAACATCACTGAATTATATGAGATCTGTTCTTATATTATTGAATTCGCTTTTACAATTTCTTTTTTTTTTGTAGTGTAACGAATATCAATTACTGTTCTTTTAACTCTTCGAATTTATAGCAATTTTCAAACGATGATTTGATTCATTTGTGTATGCGTTGAAAAGTCGGAAAAACATTAATTGCAAAGAAATAGTTCAATCATCATGAAATTCGTATATAGTTTAATGGGTCAACCATACTAAGTCAAGATCAATATTGTCCATTTTCATTTACAATTGTTTGTTAAAAAAAATCATGGAGTATTTGTTATACTATTGTCACGTTTTTGAAATGTGTTTATTTATCAAATCATTTATGAACACGATAATATTTCTCCCATAAATGGATGCAAAACGGAAGTTTCTCTTTATACGTTGACTTTCCGTTTGGATTATAATAGACACATTTAAAATTGCTCATAAAGAGGAAATCATATTTTTATGACTTATATATAGGAGCAAAGTGTCTGGCTTGGCTGGTTGTCAATGAAATTATCAATTGAGAAAGACGAAAAGGAAAATGAAATTAAATCATTTATTCATTGATATTGATTTTATATCGGTCAAATACGAGCATATGGCTCGAATAGTGTTCAATGCTAACGTAAATAATCTTATTCTGTACAGCGCTGTCCAATATAGGAAACTAGACTGATTTAATCCGTGAAGCAATTTTATGAATTGCCATAACACCAACTAACTGCATTGCTTGTAAAATTAAACGGTTCTTTCTCTTTCCATAGAGAAATAGCTAGAGCATAAAGCACATTAGAACATATTGAAAACAGAAGCATTGGCAATTTGCGCTGCATTTTATTCAATTTTTTTTTGAAAAATAACATTAAAAACTATTTCGATCATCAAAATCCAATTGTTCTTTCTTCGCATCACATACGAAAATATAAAAATCATAAAAAACGTGTTCTCATTGCGATATCGAATGTATACCTTGAGTGTACGTTCCTTAAGTTTCAATCCTTTTGGTTTGAATTATTCAAAGTATGATCAAAGATTTCGCACAAATGCATGGGAACCGTTCAAAAGAAAACGAAGAAGAAAACAGAAAAACTCTCAGCCCGATCAATGATGTCCTACTGTGTAAGATATCAACTAACTAATTCAACATCAGTATTAATTCTTGGCTTAGTGTGTTCAATTGAACATGTTCATCTATTCAAATCGAGCAATAATAAAACTTGAATATTTTTTTCCTCTTTCTCAAAAACCAGACCATCCTCCATTTATCTATATATTCTATGCATTTTGATATGAATAAATTGAAGACGAGCCAAATACAATGATAGCGCGACATGCTCAACAGCAGACGAGAAATCAAAGACGAAACGGCCGACAAAATTGATGTTCATTGTTTGTTGTTTTCTCGGTTATTCAACGCATGCATTCGATTTTTTTTTTCAATTCTCTTCCTTTGACCACAAAACACACAGAGAAAGAAAGAAGAGAAAAAAACGAACAATAATACACAGGCACACACATCTTCACCTTCTTCTTTGTTTTTTTTTTTTTTATTTTTATTTTGTTCAATTCGTTTGTTTGTTATTGATGCCACAGAATAGCAATACACGCATCGTGGCTGCTCATCGGTCAATATTATATGCACGTTGTACGGTGGATTAAAAGCGGAATTCGTTCTGCTGCTACTTCTTCAATCAAAAATAAAATAAAAAGAGCTAAAGAACTGCTTGATTTTATTTCTTTTTATCATATTCTCTTTCCATTTTTATTGAGATTATTTTGTTGGTTTCCAGTGGACGTGAGTCGTTTGTCTAGTTTTTAGTGTTAAAGGGCCAAGAATAGATATTGAAAATGCGTCTTATCATTATTTTCGGTTTACAAAAAATATTCCGATGAACATTTAGGCGTTCTAATCAGCTTTTCATTACCAGATAGAATTAATTTTGTTCTTTTTTCATATTCAACGTTATAAACGCATCCATGTACCCGCCTTTATAATCAACCATTATATTTTACAAACAGCCATTGGCTCTTAATCCCAATAAAAAAAAAGCGAGAAAGATAAAATATTAGTGTGATAAAGTGAATTTGGTTCTATTAGAATTGATGTGAGAATTGGAGCCAATAAATGCACACTGATGGCGGATAGCCAATGCATTATGATTTAAATCGATTTCGGCGAGCTTCGGAATCGAGAATAAAGGCAACAAAATATTCATAAATATTTTTGACGCGCATTTCATTCAATTTCTATGCGACATGGTTTTGAATTGTCAAAAGAAATCCAAATATAAAATCCTTTTCAAACCCTCTTTTACATGTGAACAATAGATACCGTTCAATATATTCTAATGAAATCATTATTCTCTTTCCACCCGTTGCTTTCAATCTCGTTTGATTTATGGGGAGCAACAATATAAAATACGAAAAAATGTGGTCCCATTTTTACAGCGCTTGTTTATTTCCTACAAACATTTACGATGAACAACAATAATAATAATAAAGTGAATGTATTGAGAATTTGATCTGTATATCACTGTGTATTTCGATGAGACAAAGAATATTCAAGTTATTTTCTTATTTCAGGCCATTCAGGATATAAGAACAATGAGTTTGTGTTTTTGTATTTAATTTAAGAATGCAATTACTTACTTAGCGCAAGAAGCATCAAGGTTTATGAAATCCTGATATTATTTTCATATTAAAATATTTGTGCTCGATATTTAATTCATATTTATTTGATTAATTTTCTGTTTTGAACTTATTTTTTCGTTAAAAGTTCAATATCTCAAAATGTAATAGATTTCACCAAAAATCTAGCATAAATATCATGAAACATGCTATGGTGTCGATAATGTAAACCACACAAAAGACATGTTTCATAATATCACCATTACAAATGCCTTAAAATGTTGTAGTTACCAGTATAAACGGTAGTTGAAACTATTGAACTTGCCACAGTGACAGATGTGGTGAAATCGAACCGTTGTCAACTTCACGCAAATTCGCATCCAATGTCAAGCCATGTGTCTCTTTATTCCGTCTTTTTCACAATCGGTCGACAAGCATGGCAGTCGGAAAAAATAAGGGCCTCTCGAAAGGAGGTAAAAAAGGTAGCAAAAAGAAGGTGATTGATCCGTTCTCACGCAAAGATTGGTATGATATCAAGGCACCAAACATGTTTGCCCAACGGCAAGTTGGAAAAACCTTGGTTAATCGTACCCAAGGTACAAAAATTGCATCGGAAGGTTTGAAGCACCGCGTGTTCGAGGTTTCATTGGCCGATTTGCAAAACGAAAATGATGCTGAACGCTCATTCCGTAAATTCAAGTTGATCTGCGAAGATGTCCAAGGTAGCCACTGTTTAACCAACTTCCATGGAATGAATTTGACCACCGACAAATTGCGGTAAGTAATTTTTTAAATGATAATAAATAAGTGTTCCAGTTCCATGAAAAGTGCATTTACTTAGTAGTGTTAACATAACCTAAAAAAAAATTGACTGTGTTAACGTGTTTTATGTGTAATCCAACGAATGAAATGAAATCATAAGTGAAATGTTTTTAAATTCAGATTAAAATTGTAGTGGCTATTGAAATAAATGTGATTTTTTTATTTTTTCGCTAAAAATCGGGTTGCTTGCATTTCAAAGACTGACTAACCATATCCAATGCATGACTAACGTGGGGTTTTATTTGATTACAGTTCAATGGTCAAGAAATGGCAAACACTCATCGAATGCAGCATCGATGTTAAGACCACCGATGGATACTTGCTCCGTGTGTTCGCTATTGGATTCACATCAAAGGACGCTATGTCGCAACGCAAAACTTGCTACGCTCAACACTCGCAAGTTCGTGCCATCCGTAAGAAGATGAGCGACATCATCACCCGTGATGTGACCGGTTCGGACTTGAAGGAAGTCGTCAACAAGTTGGTACCTGATTCCATCGCCAAGGATATCGAAAAGGCCTGCCACGGTATCTATCCATTGCACGATGTTCACATTCGTAAAGTAAGTTCAGTGCAAAAACAATTACATTTTTCAATATATGTAACAAATAATTTCGGCTTCGGTACTAATTCCGTTTCCATATGTTCATTCAGGTAAAGGTTTTGAAGAAGCCACGTTTTGACTTGTCCCGATTGTTGGAACTTCACGGTGACGGAAGTGGCGGTAAATCAGCTGAAGGTGTTACCAATGCCGAAGGTGTCGTTGTTGAACGCCCAGAAGGATACGAACCACCTGTGCAAGAAGCCGTTTAAATCTACACATAAACTTTTTAATCATACAAAAAATTACACAACAAATGTGTACATTATACATCAAACATTTCCTGTGAATGGCCTGAGAAATATTTTTTTTCAAATAAATTTTGGTGCCACTCATGAATGGTTAAAAAAAAACATATAAATGATGGAGTTTTATTTGCTGAAAAACAACACACGGTAATTGAATTATTATTGCGATATTTAATTCGATTTTATTTTATTCATTCACAGTATATCAACCTTACATCTCATCTATAAAGGTATGTTTACTTCATCATTTTTTCTTATTAAAATACTTTAGTTCTTTTTAAATGAGGATAAAAATTAATTTGATCATCAATGATAAAATTAGCTAAATATATGGTCTTTTGCTCCTATCTGATTTTTTCACCAATTAAAATATTTGATATTTTATTTTTGTAAAACATAACTCATTCAATGTTTTCTTTTTCATTTTGCAGCTGTAGCTGAACCATCAGTATGGATTCCACAATTCAAACGGTAATTATTGTCTTATATTTTGAAAACACATTTATAAATTTCAAATGAGGATAAAAATTAATTTGATTATCAATGACAAAACTAGCTAAATATATGGTCTTTTGCTCCTATCTGATATTATTCCAATACATTTACTATTACACTTTATGCGGAAGAGCCTCCATTAATTTAATCGTTTAATTCTGATCTTTTACAGGTTCAAAGTGATTTGATTTCATTATACATGTCAACATTTTGCCGAGATAAATTAAGGTAATTTGAATTTTTGCACAAAAACATATGTTTTCTAAATGATGACAAATTTAATCCGAAGTTCATTGACGATTACAACATTCAAACTTAAACCAAAAGGATTCTGATACATTTGATTATTCAGCAATTTTATACTGAACTAACTATATGCATATAATTCATACGATGTTCTATTTTTTGCAGATTAAGTCATCAAAACGACCAAGAAGCTCACTGTTTTCTGCAGATAGTCCCAATAAAGGTAAATAATACTTCAAAAACTCATATTATCAAATAGTTTCTTTTCACGATGAAAAAACTAATCCGAAGACCATTGACGATTACACATTCAAATTTAAACCAAAAGGATTCTGAAATTTATGATACAAATATTTCATTATGTCACACCCTTTTTGGCATTGCTTGTTTGACTAATTTCTATTCTTTTTTAATTTACAGAATGAAACATAATTCCATTCAAAGGAAGTGATCCAAAAATGTGGCAACTTCCAGAGGTAAATATAATAAATTGCATATGGTATTGACATTTGAAAATGATGACAAAACTAATCCGAAGTTCATTGACGATTACACAATCAAACTTAAACCAAAAGGATTCTGAAACATATGATTTCATAATCAATATTATGCGAAAGCTATCAAAATCTTTATTAATTCACGCTTTACTTTTTAACATCAGATCAATGGGGGCAGTTGAGGTTCAGAAGTAAAACCGATTGGAAAAGACAAGACATTTCTTGATTTAGGTACTTATATTTATATCTTTCATTTTAAACTTGATACACTTAAATGACTTAAATGATGACGTTAATGTATAGTTCAATTGATATTCAATGAAACCAACCTCAACACTTCTGAACCGATCAATTATGATCACGATTAATTTAAACAATGTCTTTGCCTAAAAATTGACTTATTTCATTTCAATTGTTTTTGTTCCTCATCAGTACCACTTCGTTTGGCTAAATAAAACAGGAGTTGAGTTGAGATGCAATAAAAGAAGGTAATTATACTATCTTATTAATCATTTTCTTAATTTGAATGATGACCATTATTCAAGCTCCCTCAACTGAATAGAACCCATTAAAAAACCATGTGGTTACCCAGCAATGTCTGATAACACTCTCATTTAACCAAAAAAAATGTTTTTACATGTATAATTGTAAACTTATGATATATTTTTTTTATTTTGAAAGATTACCAAAGAAAGCAAATATGATGTGCTGTTATGAACTTAGAGAACTCTTCTGGAGTGAAATTGGTAAGCAAATATCTTATTAGTATTTCACATAAAAGTTTAATTTAAATGATGACCATTATCAAGCTCCCTCAACTGAATAGAACCCATTAAAAAACCATGTGGTTAACCAGCCATGTCTGATATCTTTTTAATTAAATATTTTATGATGACTACAACATGCACAGGTCATATAATAAGTTGAATTTTCTTTTCATTTTTAGGATGGGCAATCGGTTGATTCAAAATAGTGGAGCATGACGGGTAAGTATTTCAAAATATTTCAATATTCATTGAGTTCATTTTGTGATGAGAAATTTACACAGACCTGTTCATAAAACCATTGATGAGCCAAGCGCATCTGATTACATTTCCTAAAGAATCATATATTTTTTTTATCAATATTTCATACGTCTAATGGACTTATATCTTATTTTAGATTTCAGATTGGCTCATGTTTGGACATAATGTCTCATTCTCATCCAGCGCCAAAACTTTATTCAGGTAATTGTTATTTTACTGCTAAAATGCATGAAAGACTAGACCAGTCACAGTGATGATTTAAATATTACAGACCTGTTCATAATATTTTGATGAAAATAATATCCTGAAATTATAATTCATTTATTAAATGCATTCAAATTGAAAGTTAATGTTTTATACTAACATCGTCTGTTTTACATTGTTTCAGGAATCCATTTATGGTTCAAAAAGTGCAACACTATAAATCATTGACAATGGTAAGCATCAAATGTGGTTGATTTTCAGTTGTAATGAGATTCAATGATGTTTTACTTTTATTTTTCGTCTCTGACTTTTAGGCATTCCATGCTTAAATGTAGACAAACTTAGTACTGATTTCAATATTGAAGTCAAATATCAAATGTTTGTTTTTATTGTAATTTAATATTCATTTTCTTTTTCCTCCATTCTAGATGGCATTCAGAAGTATGTGAAGGTGGATCTCAGATTGGTTTGAATTTAAAGGTTAATATTCAATAAGTGTATTTAATTTGTTTTCCATTGATTTAACTATGATGACTACAAACCTCAGCTCGCTTTGATATCTGTGAAGAAAACTTGTTCCAATATCCAACGCAAAAAATATATTACCACTGAAGTTAAATTATTTAAAATTAATTAAATCAACAACATTTTAAAATTCGAGTAAAATAAAATTTGTATTTCGTGCTTTTTTTCAGGAGCGTTCACATCGTGTGTCATTGATGTGTGAAAAATTCAACATTTAAAAAGGTATGTGCAGAACGTTTACATAGTTATTATTTAAATAAAATCGATGATGCATTGCAATGATTAAAATTTTGCGCTTGAGGGTCAGGTGAACGGACTCTGTAACAGTTCGACTATGAATTTTGTAGAGTGGGTGATTTTCACCTGCTGAACGGTTACTAGGACTTAGTAAATGGCCTTGTGATTGTCAGATTATGAGATCTGAGCAATGTTTTCGAATATTTATTCGATTTTTTTTACAATGTGCAACTTCCATTCAGTTCTAATAATCACTTTTATTCGTTACAGATTTCTTTTCAATCCCACAAACAAAAGATCAATCAGGTAATTATAATTGAAACAATTTTTATATTTTAATTTATCATATTTTTAAATGATGACCACAAACCTCAGCTCGCTTTGATATCTGTGAAGAAAACTTGTTCCAATATCCAACGCAAAAAATATATTACCACTGAACGTTTTAAATGAATATTATCGGTAGTTTGTATAAAAGTAAAATTGGGAACTAAACAAAGTGTTTTTCTAAATTTTCAGGTCTGTTCATTCGATGAGAGTCAATAGGATCGATACACGGAATTTGGACTTTATGTAAGTATAATCAATAAAATTTCTCTCTTTCTATACAAAAATTCATTTAATGATGACCACAAACCTCAGCTCGCTTTGATATCTGTGAAGAAAACTTGTTCCAATATCCAACGCAAAAAAAATATTACTACTGAATGTTTTAAATGAATAATTTTTAAGCTTAATAAAGTCAGAATGGAGAATTAATCGATTTTTTTCTTTTTTTTAAAGGAAGACATTAATCGCGGCAGGAGGAAGTTGAGTTAATCGTCGAAAAACGTAAGTGAAATCAATATAATTTCTATCTCTTTCTATACAAAAATTCATTTTATGATGACTACAAACCTCAGCTCGCTTTGATATCTGTGAAGAAAACTTGTTCCAATATCCAACGCAAAAAAATATTACCACTGAAAATAAATTATATTTCGAAAACTTTCGATAAGAGTTTTTCTTTCAATATTTTACTAATTTCTTCTTTTTTATTAATTCCAGGGGTGAGTAAACTGACTGTCGGAGCCTGAAAGTCGAAACTGTGATCAATTGAAATACAATAAAGTTTTGAATAAATTGAGATTTTATTTAAACAAAAAAACAAATGTCTTTTTATTTTAATTTCCCATTGCTCAGTTAAACCCAGATGTTATACGATGGAAAATGCCGATACGGTAAAAACTGTTTATTGTCTTTTTTTGGTAATCGAGTAAAGTTTAATTGGAGAAAACTCATTTGGTTCCCAATAAAGTAGTTTTGAAGTAATGGTAGGTTCGACTTGATACTGAAGTCCAAATGTTCCTGTAATGTACAGGTTACGAATTAATTTGATTTCAAATATGATTCAATTAAGTCAATTTACCAAGTTTCATCAAAAATTCGTGTTCAGTGTCCTCATTTCGAACAGCGTTCGCTAACATGAATTTCTCACAATTATCACAGTGATCAAAGAGCATTCGAACGGTAGTTAAGAGTGATTCAAACAATAAATTGTCATAGATGACATCTGCAGCTATGATTAAGTCCACTTGCATTAGACGTTCTTTGATAAATTTCTCAGTTATGGTCATCCAATCTAACATCATGGCATCTTAAAATATTAAAAAAATGTAAAGAAAATAAGTGAAATTCCATGACTTATATATTGAGTTTCAATTACCGATCACAGTTTGGGTGCCGTGGTGAAAACGATCGTCAGACGATTTTTCAAAGTTATTGTGCACATTTTCTAGTAAATTTTCAATAACTTTTACATGACCATCAGTGATGCAAATGGATTTCGGTGAACAACATTTTGCTATGATTAGACTACTGAGTCCAGTACCTGCTCCTAATTCGATAACATTTTTACTGTCAAATATGTTTTTATTTTGAAGGGCCCATTCACTTATGGCCAACGCTGATTCCCAAATATTAAGGCCGGTCGTACCTTGCGATATTTTATTTCGATTTTCTTTGAGAATTACTGTCTGAAAATCATCATTTTCATTTGCTCGAATGCGATAGTGCTTGTAAAAATATTCGGCATTTTCATTGGATTTGGATTGATACGCGCAAAGTGTTGTATACAAGTCGTCATGAACTTCAATAGCCTGACTTTCCAAATCATTAATTACAAATCTTAGGAAACGAATTACATAATTCGTATCCAGCGGATATTTCTGAAGTATCACCAAATCCACAGTTTCATTTAGTAAATTCTTTTGTGCATCCCATGATAGATCCTTTAATGTATCCTATAAAAAATATTCAACAATTTTGCGTCAAATTTTAGAGATATTAGACCATAAAATATTTGTTTGGCTTTTTGGATTACCTTCCATGCGAACTTTTTTATTGGCAAACAACACAAAAATTGTGTTTGAATGTCTAACAAGCAATGATTTTCAGTTTTCATTGTAAACAGCGTGCATACCAAACGGAACTTAAAAGTAAACATCAATCATACTGAAACAATGTGCTATCTTTGACGTTTATTTCCAGACCTATACGCCCTCTACAAGACACATATTTTAAATTTAAAAAAAGATTTTTTTTTCTTGTTGAATAGAGATGTTTAATTCATATTGTGTCTAGGTTTAAAAATAGGAATATCTATCTCAGTTGCTTTAATTCAATTTGTAAACATAATCACAAAATAGTTTATTCATTTCCTACAAAATATGTAACCAATGCTCATCATTCATCCACAATTTTTTGTTGCAGTTTCTTTGCAAATTTAGTGGATGGTTTCATGAGAGGGAATAACAAGACTTCTTTTATGTTATAGGAATCGGTTAAAAGCATTGTTAAGCGATCAATTCCCATCCCCCATCCACCGGTCGGTGGCAAACCATATTCAAGCGCTGTGCAAAAGTTTTCATCAATTTGTTGTGCATCAACGTCTCCAGCATTCTTGGCAGCAGCTTGTTGATCAAAGCATTGACGTTGAACAATTGGGTCGTTTAATTCGGTGTATGCATTACAAACTTCTTTCTTCATCACAAACAATTCGAATCGTTCGGTTAATCCGGGAACACTTCTATGATATTTGGCCAATGGGCTCATAATTTGCGGATGATCGCAGATAAATGTTGGATTGATGCATTGTTCTTCGAGGAATTCACCAACCAACTTGTCAAGCAAACGAGCCGTTGTTCGTGGTGGTGGACATTCAATATTGTGTTTAACGCACAAGTCACTAGTAAATTTATTGCTTGCGTCAGTGTTGAATTCTTGTGGATTCGGGAATTTCACCTTGAGTATTTCTTCTAAGGCCGGAATCATTTTGATACGTCTGAATGGCGGCGTAAAATCAATTTCATACTCAGGTGCATTTTCGACATCGATACCATCTGGATGGTATTTTACTTTATATGTTCCATGAATACTCTTCACCATTCCCGAAATCAATTTTTCGCTGATTTCGATGACGTCATTGTAATCGGCATAAGCCATATAAAATTCGCACGTCGTAAATTCGGGATTATGTGACGAATCAATACCCTCATTTCGGAACTGTCGACCAATTTCGTAAACACGGTCCATACCGCCAACAACTAATGTCTTGAGATAAAGTTCTGGAGCGATGCGCATAAATAGTTTCATATCAAGGTCATTATGATGGGTCATAAAAGGTTTCGCGTTTGCACCACCAACGATCGTATTCATCATAGGTGTTTCAACTTCCAAAAATCCCATTTGATCGAAGAATTGACGCACATACGAAATGATCTTTGCACGAACTTGGAAAGTTTGACGAACCTTGCTGTTGAGAATCATATCCAAATATCGCTGCCTGAACCGAGTCTCTTGATCTTTGACTCCAAAATGCATAGTTGGTAACATATGTAAGCATGGAGCAAGCAGCTTAACCTAGAAGTTTAAATACAAAAATGATTGTTTTTCTGCAATAATATTCAATAAAACTTGTGTGCCCAACCGTTTTTGAAAGAATCGATAATTCGCCACTTTTTGTTCTGACTGGTGAACCTTCTATTCCAATTATATCGCCACGGTGATATTTTGAAGCTTCAGCTTCGAACTTTTCTTTGCTTTCATACATTTGCGCACTTATTTTAACTTGAACCCTCGATCCATCACTTTGCAAGTCGAAGAAGTATAGCTTAGAGCCAGCCCTTCGAATCGATAAAATACGACCAGCAATGGTCTCTGTAATATTCATCAACTGTTCTTCATTTTTCAAGTGCTTATATTTTTCTACATAGTCTGTAACTGTACAGCTAACTTGAAATTTATGTGGATACGGGTGTGTGTCGACGTTTTGTCTTAGCTCTTCAACTTTTCTGATTCGTGTATCGTAGAATACTTTCCCCAATGATATTGGATCTTCTTCTATTTCTTGTTTGTCTTTCTTTGGTTTTTTCGTTGGTTGTTTGCTAAGGAAACGCGACCCAGATCTGCTCGAATAATACGACAAAAAATTATGTTGGTAGATTAGAATTGGTTTGTTTTGATTCAAATAAAAAACCTAACCTCGAATTCGTGTGGCACGGTAAATAGGAAACACCAATATATTTTGAAAATGTTTCATGATATTTTCTCGCTTCGGACACTCTCTTGAGAATGCTTAGTCCAATTTGCGTCCTACTTATCATTGATAACAAAAATAAAGTGCTATCAACAAATAATCCAAAGTCTGTTTCTTTTTCAACTTTTTATTTTGAACCCACTGAACTATTTGATGACAGATTTGACAGTTCAAGTCAATGTCATTGTTGGGGCTTTCCATTCGAAGGGATATATGAATGAGGTAGAATAAAAACTACTTCTCGAAAAATTGCTATTTTAAAACGAAACCTAAAAAAAATTTCAATAAAAAGTGAATCAATTTTTTTTTGTCCAATTGAAGTGAATCAAGAAAATTTTGTTCAATAAAAGTGAACCAAAAAAAAAATTTCACTCGGTTTTTTCAGTGTAAAATACACTAAAATGAATTTTTTTTTTGGGTTCACTTTTATTGAACAATTTTTTTTTGGTTCACTTCAATTGGACAAAAAAAAATTGATTCACTTTTCATTGAAAGTTTTTTTTAGGTTTCGTGTTTAAACATTTTTCGAGAAGTAGTTTTTATTCTACCCCATTCATATCATCCTATCTATCCGTTTAAAATTCAAAAATTTCGCGCACATTAAATCTTGCTCAATATTTTTTTATTAAATGACTTCTAAAATAAAAAAACGAAACTATTTGCAATAATAAATTACATCATCGGTGGAAAATAATCAAAATTCGGTAAAAATGTAAAGTCATATTTTCTTTGTCTTCAATGATAATGGTTTCAGTAAAATTGTGCTCTTTGAATTAAGTTTCGAATTGTAAGCAAAAGATATAAACCTATTACAATCAAAAGTTCTACTGAAATAAAGTATGAACAACCAATTAAATTGCATTTTATTTTAATTTTATTCAAGCTAAAAGTGATAGAGACAATGGGGGATATACATTCTGTGTTTTGTTTGATTTATTATGGGGCTAATCGATTTTGATCAAAACGATTAATGGATATTTCAGATTTTGTAAATAAATAGTCAAACGTTTGTTATATCTGCAGAAATAAACTTATGAAGATCTATTTTTCCGACGGTTTTCCATCGGCACTGGGATGTGGTGTCACATTGTCATCCGGTTTCATTGCTGGGAACAGTAGAACTTCCTTGATATTATTCGAATCAGTTAAGAACATGGTCAAACGGTCAATTCCCATTCCCCATCCGCCGGTCGGTGGCAAACCATATTCAAGTGATGTGCAAAAGTTTTCATCGACTAGTTGAGCTTCATCGTCTCCAGCATTTTTGTCAGCAGCTTGTTGTTCAAATCGTTCACGTTGAACGGCCGGGTCATTCAATTCAGTATATGCATTACAAACTTCCTTCTTCATCACAAACAATTCGAATCGTTCGGTTAATCCGGGAACACTTCTATGATATTTGGCCAATGGGCTCATAATTTGCGGATGATCGCAGATAAATGTTGGATTGATGCATTGTTCTTCAAGGAATTCACCAACCAACTTGTCAAGCAAACGAGCCGTTGTTCGTGGTGGTGGACATTCAATATTGTGTTTAACGCACAAGTCACTAATAAATTTATTGCTTGCGTCAGTGTTGAATTCTTGTGGATTCGGGAATTTCACCTTGAGTATTTCTTCTAAGGCCGGAATCATTTTGATACGTCTGAATGGCGGCGTAAAATCAATTTCATACTCAGGTGCATTTTCGACATCGATACCATCTGGATGGTATTTTACTTTATATGTTCCATGAATACTCTTCACCATTCCCGAAATCAATTTTTCGGTGATTTCGATGACGTCATTGTAATCGGCATAGGCCATATAAAATTCGCACGTCGTAAATTCGGGATTGTGTGTCATATCAATACCCTCGTTTCGGAACTGTCGACCAATTTCGTAAACACGGTCCATACCGCCTACAACCAACATTTTGAGATATAATTCAGGTGCAATACGCATATACAGTTGCATGTTAAGGTCATTGTGATGTGTGATAAATGGTTTAGCTGTGGCTCCGCCAGCAATCACATTCATCATAGGTGTTTCAACTTCCAAAAATCCCATTTGATCGAAGAATTGACGCACATACGAAATGATCTTTGCACGAATTTGGAAAGTTTGACGAACTTTGCTGTTGAGAATCAGATCCAAATACCGTTGTCTGAATCGAGTCTCTTTGTCCTTCAAACCAAAATGCAGTGTGGGTAACATATGCAAGCATGGCGACAACAATGTGATCTGAAAAGAAAGTGAAAAGTTGTCGATCAACAAAATTGTGTGCCGATTTTTGAATGTAATCTTCAAAAATAGATAAAACTAGATCTTACCTTTTTTGGAATAATTGATAGTTCACCTTTCTTCGTTTTTCCCGGTGAGCCTTCGATTCCAATAATATCACCACGTCGAATTTTCCCAGTATCCGTAGCGAATTCGTCTTCACTAACATAAGCACGAGCATTGGCCATAACTTGAATTTTAACACCTTCACCGCGCAAATCGTAGAAAATCAATTTGGCACCCGAATTACGAATTGAGTGTATGCGACCAGCGACACTCACAGTAATAGGTAGTGTTTCACCATCACTCACTGATTCATTGTATTTTTCAATGAAATTCTCCAACGAAATGGTAACATTGAATTTATGTGGATACGGATGAGTGTCGGGATGTTTTTTCAATTCTTCGACGGCCGATGAGCGCAGCTTGAAAAATTCATTTGGTGAAATTTCTGCTTCATTGATCTCACCTTCGGTTGATTTTTTGCCAGGTGCTATCCCATTCTGAAGAGCACTCTGCCCTTTCTCGGCCTTCTCCTTGGCCTTTTGTTCGGCCTTCAAACGGCGTTTCAACTCGCTATTTCAAATAAATTAAATTCAAAAATTAATTAAACCTTTCATTTTTTTACCATATAATTTTGTTTAAAAACTATCCACAATGTAAAATTTGCTTAAATCACAAAAAATAGGTTATGTTCTTTTTGTGTTCTTTAAATCATGTAATTTTCACTAATAGAATGTTATGAATAGAGATGATTAGACAAACTAATAATTGTTGATATATTTGCAACGTCAACATGTATGTAAACAAACTGCAATTCAAACATTGTGATTTAGAAAATTGCGAATATGCATTCACACGTGCATCACGTCCATAAAGTGTTGTCAATATTTGTGCAAAAAGAATAAAAAACAATCGAACAAACTCTTTCCATCGGAATTTCAACAGATTTTACATGAAATAACTGCAAATAACGAGTGTAATGTAGAAAATTTAACAAAAAATGAAATAAATCGTACTTTTTGGATAATTTTTCACCGCTTGCATCAGCCATGTTGGCAAATCTTTTTGAATGAATAATGTAAAAGAATGTAGCACAAAGAAACGATTCAACACTACGTATACTGGTTGACAGTTAATCTCAACGCGGAATACACTACACAATAAGCAACATAACCTCTTTTCACTTGACATAACGCTCACTTTTGCGCTCTTTTGGAAATCACATCTTTAGTCTTTATTTATGGTAAAAATAAAGACGTCTCGCCAGTCGAGTGTACATTGGAATGATTTCATATGCGACAAATTGATAAAATTTGGATTGTCATTTTGTATGGACACATCTTATATGGAGCAGCTTTTCTTTTCATGAGATATAAAACATTATGCTCATTAAATGAACTACATTTTTTTACGAATAATGGACGTGACAATGTTTTAAATTCTTATACATATTTTTATCCATTTATTTTCTTTGGGCTATAATAGCTTTCAAGAGACTTTTATAATACAAAGAGATATGTCAGTCGGTGTCAATAAAGTTCAGTTCAATTGAATATTAAACATTCGTCTTGGAATGAAATTATAATTTACATTGTGGATATTTACATAAGAATGCGAAGCTCGATTAATGCATTTGTTATGCACGAAAACCCCGAAATTCATATTCATTGTGACCATGCAAAATGGTAAACTGATTTATTTTTTTGAATCCGATTATAGCACATTTTGTCTGCTTACGATAGATGTCGGGCATTGTTCGTACAAAAAACATCAATGGGATACAGTGTGAGAATAGTCATTTGACATTATATAACACGTCTTCGTACTTCAGCACATATTGCGAGTAAATTTTTTATTATATGAGCATCTTTCAGTCAAGAAGGCTGAAGATTCGAACGTAGAATAAAGCGAAGGCACCGGCGGCATTAAGAGATAACTAAATTATCAGTATAAATACACATTTCGTGTTGTTGTCGTTTAAAAATAAAATCTAATCAGAAAATAAGGATTTTTTTTTATTTGTTGTGAAGTCGTGAGATTGTAAAAATGCTTTTTAAAGTGCATCAGGTGAGTGCATTCGAGAAAAAAAAATGCATTAACGAATTTTGATAAAATCATGAAAAATCAATCAAAAGCAATTCACGGGTGACAAAAGTGAAAAAAATGTATTATTTTTTATCTAAAATTAAAAACAAAAGCATGGAATTCGTTTGATAAATCAATTTTTTCTAAATCAGCCTATTTTTGCCAATATCTTTTCAATGACAGTCACGATGATATAACAAAGTCACCTAACCCAATTTTCATAATAATTTATTTTATATAAAATATATTTATTTAAAATAGATCATTTATGAATTGATTGTAATGGATGTTTTGATGCATTTCGCATTGAACGGCATAATATTTTCATTACTGAGAATTTTCAAGGTTTCTCCTTATCGACGATTGAGGTTACCCAGTTATAACTTTTCATTTTCTTTCTTATTCGATTTATAAAGCATCAATCAAACTAGTATTCAACCATACTATCTAGCTTATACCTACCACTACCTATTAGAATGTATAATATAATCGTTCAATGTGTCATAGATAGTGTGATGTAGTAGGTAGACAGAACCTGTGAACTTGGTGAAAATTAATAGATAATTATGTCATGTGTCTTATCCGAATATTTCGATTGATTTATTTCGCGTTATTTTTGCCGTGATTGTACTTTGTCACTGACGCATTTCGTTATACATCCAATAAAATATCTCGCCAAATTATCAGTTATTTTAGAATTTTTTATCACCCGTCATTTCGCATAGACTAAACAAACGTGTATAAAAAAAAGCTTGATTGGCACTCTTATCAATTCGTGTGTCAACTTTTATTATAGGTAAAAAAGGCGTGTTTCGTAGCGGCACAACGCAATTATCGCACATCAAGTGTATTGTCCTCGAAAGTTCCATTGTCAAAATTCGACAATGACGTCTATATGCCATACGAAAAACTTTCCAGCAATTTGGAAATTGTTAAGAAGCGCTTGAATCGACCATTAACTTTGTCGGAAAAAGTGTTGTACTCCCATTTGGATGATCCGAAAAATCAAGATATTGTTCGTGGTACATCGTATTTGCGTTTGAGACCTGATCGTGTTGCTATGCAAGATGCCACCGCTCAAATGGCAATGCTTCAATTCATTTCATCGGGATTGCCACGTGTTGCTGTCCCATCGACCATTCACTGCGATCACTTGATCGAAGCTCAAATCGGTGGCAAAGAAGATTTGGCACGTGCAAAATCCATCAACGAAGAAGTCTACCGTTTCTTGGCATCAGCTGGTCAAAAGTATGGTGTTGGTAAGTAAATAATAACTTAATGAATAATTCAAGTTCAATATGGCTCACCAATATTTGTTGTTACTTTTCTTAGGTTTCTGGAAGCCAGGATCGGGTATCATTCATCAAATTATTTTGGAAAATTACGCTTTTCCCGGATTGTTGATGATTGGTACAGACTCTCACACACCAAATGGTGGTGGTTTGGGTGGTTTATGCATTGGTGTTGGTGGTGCTGATGCTGTTGATGTCATGGCAAATATCCCATGGGAATTGAAATGTCCGAATGTGATCGGTGTCCATTTGACCGGAAAGATTACCGGATGGACTTCACCAAAAGATGTTATTCTCAAGGTGGCTGATATTCTAACTGTGAAAGGTGGAACTGGTGCAATCGTTGAATATTACGGAAAAGGTGTTGATTCTATTTCATGTACTGGTATGGCTACAATCTGTAACATGGGTGCTGAAATCGGTGCAACAACATCAACGTTCCCATTCAATAGCCGCATGTCGGACTACTTGAAATCAACTGGACGTGATGGTATTGCCAGCGAGGCTGCCAAATACCAAGCAAAATTATTGACAGCTGACAGTGGTGCCAAATACGATCAAGTCATTGAAATTGATTTGAGCACACTCGAACCACATGTGAATGGTCCATTCACACCAGATCTTGCTCACCCAATCACCAAACTTGGCGAAAACTCAAAGAAGAACGGTTATCCAATGGATATTAGTGTCGGTTTGATTGGATCGTGCACAAATTCGTCATATGAGGACATGGGTCGTTGTGCTTCGATTGCCAAAAATGCCATGAAACATGGTGTCAAATCTAAGATTCCATTCAATGTTACACCAGGATCTGAACAAATTCGTGCCACAATTGAACGCGACGGTATCGCTGAAACATTCAGAGAATTTGGAGCTACTGTAAGTTGTTGTTGTTTTAGTCTATGTTGATTGTCATTCGGTCAGAAAAAAAAAGAATAACAAAAAATGTCCCGTAGGTTTTGGCCAATGCTTGCGGTCCATGTATTGGACAATGGGATCGTCAAGATGTAAAGAAAGGAGAAAAGAACACCATCGTTACTTCCTATAACCGAAACTTCACTGGTCGTAACGACGCCAATCCAGCCACTCACTGCTTCGTCACAAGGTAACGATAGATTTTCTTTTAATAAAATCAAAATACAAATGTATAATTCAAATTTACTTTTGAATTTTAGTCCCGAAATGGTGACAGCATTATCGATTGCTGGTCGTCTTGACTTCAATCCTTTGACTGATTCTCTCAAAGGAGCTGACGGAAAAGAATTCAAACTTGATCCACCATTTGCTGATGAATTGCCAAGCAAAGGTTTCGATCCAGGCAGTGACACCTATGCCGCACCACGCGAAGTAAATACATGATCATTTTTATATTTACCACAGTATTAATTGTGTTGCTTTTGTTCAAATGCAGGATGGTTCAGCAGTCCAAGTAGATGTTGATCCAAAAAGCCAACGTTTGCAATTGTTGGAGCCATTCGATACTTGGGATGGCAAAGATTTAACCGATTTAACCGTTTTGATTAAAGTTAAAGGAAAATGTACAACTGATCATATCTCAGCTGCTGGCCCATGGCTAAAATACCGTGGTCACTTGGACAACATTTCAAATAATATGTTTATCGGGTAACAGGAATTTTTCTTTTTCATGTTATTTATTGTTAGCTTTATAACGTCAATATATGTACTTGTAGGGCTGTGAACTCGGAAAATAACGAAGTAAACAAGATTAAGAATCTATTGAATGGTGAATGGGCTGGTGTTCCAGATGTTGCCCGTCAATACAAAGCCAAGGGTATAAAATGGGTTGCTGTTGGAGATGAAAACTACGGTGAAGGATCATCTCGCGAACATGCCGCTCTTGAGCCACGTCATCTTGGCGGTCGTGCAATCATTGTGAAATCATTTGCTCGTATTCACGAAACCAATTTGAAGAAACAAGGTCTTTTGCCACTCACATTCGCCAATGCATCTGATTATGATAAGGTGTGCTTCAATTTAATGATACAGTTAAAAAGCCGGTATTGATTAAAAAACATATGTGTGCTCTTTTTTAGATTCAACCGACCGACAAAATCTCACTCCTTGGATTGGCTAACTTGGCACCTGGTAAACCAATTGACTGTGAAGTCAAACATGCAAATGGATCCGTAGACAAAATCAAATTGAATCACACACTCAACGACCAACAAATCACATGGTTCCAAGCCGGCAGCGCTCTCAATCGCATGAAACAAATTGCAGCTGGCAAATAAATCAATCATCTTCGAACTTCGTATACCTACATATAACAGAGATCAAAGATCCAGCACACATTTCAAACAAAATCAATAAATTTAAACTTTTTGTATAGGCATGTGCGTGGATAATAAATCAATTGTACAATTATTTCATTTAAAAACGAATGATAATGAAAATTCGCGAATTCATAAATAAAATAAACATCTACGTTAATTAAGTGATGTTTATAACGAACGTATATATTTTTTTCTGTTGAAATAAAAAAAGTAATAGACATTTCATTAAAATAATATGAAAGTTGTTTAAAGTTTTTTAATTACACGCTGAAATTAAAATTATTGCACTCATAACTTCTGTGGATAACTTGAACTTTAATGGACATGTGAAAATGAGTAATATGGGAATATAAATTATGATTTTATCATTTCTAAAATCAAAATCTACGGCATTTTGCAGCTGAAAATTAAAATGACAGAAATTCCACCAACTTATCAACATGAATATTACAATATGATTTATTACGTTTACTTCATGCCAGAAACGTACGTTCAAACTAAAATCCACTTCAAAAAAAGAAAATTAATTGGTTTTTGATCGGTGTGTTCCGAAAGGAACGGTCCGATTCGATGTACCAAGTGTGTTTTGCGTTGTACAACTCATATACATTTGTTTAGTGTCTATAACAAAGCAAAATCAAAGTCTAGAGAACAAGAATGATTTTTTTTTATTTATTTAACTAACATGTAGGTTTTATACTAATTGTAATGACATATGAAAATAGTTCGATTTTTTTAATTGGCAAATGATTTGTACTATCTGTTATTCTGCTTGTGAAACAGTTTCATTACTTGTATAAATAATAATTCAATGAAAATGTCTCTTTTTAAGCTTATAAATCTAAGACATCCAACAAAATTTCACGATTTAAACAAAACTAAATTGCGATTTTTTCGGTACTGTCTTTATAGCTCTACGTGTTGTAATTTACGTTTAACGTTTTTAATGTGTATTCATTTGTTATTTGTTCGGTTTTGTTCGGTTTGCGCGTTTATATGTTAATTTGAATGACATTTCTTCAACAGTCTTTTCAACTCAATCTATCGACATTGATGAAAATTAACGAATATGATTTATGAATACATATGAATGGGTGAGAATAATAGTGACTTTAATGATTTTACGTCCTGCTCTCTCTTATGAAAATTTCCATAAGATGGAGACGCCTTTAAAAAATTAAAGTCATTATTATTCCGAGCCATTCATATGTTCTATAATATACGAATAGTATCTCTGATAATATTAAATCACAAGTATTAAATAACGAATTGGTCTAATTAACTAATAAGTCGTTTTGGTTGTTCATTTTGTGTTTGCTTTATTTACCCGGCATGGCTACGGGTATACGTGGCGAAGATTTCAGCGAGACCTTGACCATCGAGTGATCGCAATACATCATGGGTGTCATATCATACAAACTTCGAGTTCGTTTTGATAGGTTTAGTTTACGCGGTGCTAATAAATGACCATGAAATTCATTGTCATTTGGTGTGCCAGCGTCAGCATCATCATCATCATCATCATTGTTTACCGTTGGTGAATTCGAGCCAACACTTTGTTGATTACTATCATTTTCACTTTGTCGTAGATTACCAGATGTTGTTGCCGAATGTTGGCTGCTATGATTGCTACGATTGCTTTGGTTTTCACGGTTACTGCTATGGCTACTTTGATTCGGTGGTACTTCATCTTGGTCTTCGCTTTCGTCCGACACATCTGGGAATCCTTCTATAAGACCTTCAGGAATATCATATTCAGGAGCATGATCTACAAAACCATTATTTACAGAGCCATTATTGGAATTGCTCGATTCAAAATTCAAATCTGTGATATCTTTTTTTTGCATTAGAATGAGAATTGAATCATAATCGAATTCGTTTCAATTTTAAAATGCATAACAAATATTCGATCGGTAAAATGACGTAAAGTTTATATTCACCTGGATTTGTCGAGGCATTTGTATATGTTCCCGTTCGATTCAACGCTGCTAACCGTGCTCTACGTGCTGCTTTACGTGCTCTAATTGCCGCATTTCGTTCGCGAGTATTGAATTTCACTTCAATCCGAAGTCGACACAATGTGCAAAACAGTGAGCTTCGTCTGAGAAATATATTTTTTTCACGAAACAAATCTAAATGATCTCTGTTGTTTAAACGTCTCAAACCCTGGCTCGTATTTCCGCAAAAGGCACAGACAATCTATCGAGTCAATGAAAAAAGTCACAACACCAATTGAAAAAAATGAAAACAAAATCACTAAATTTCTAACAAAAAAAAAATGAAAAAACAACTAACTATCACGAAATCATGAAAATCTAAAGCAAAATCCGATAAAAAAATGTGAAAATCTTACCATTTCTCTTTCCATTTTTTCTTAAGAGCGCACTGCAAACGATGCTGTTGACTGTTTATGTTGGAACGAACAATTGGCGGTAAGCCAAGCAACAACGCTGTACTATGAAAAGTGACAGATTGAAATTGAAAGGAAAAAACGAATGGTTGCGTCCATTCTGCTGTGATGAAAGTGCGTTCTTGGGCTCATACGCTCAGCTGATATTTGAAAGGTTTCTTAAGCGAAAGTGAAACGATTGTTTTTCTCAATGTTTTTTTATAAATGGAATGGTAGTTTATGTTGTATGACAAATTTTTTTCATTTGCATGAAAATCATTTGGACAAACACATTTGCATCGATGACAAAATGTGTAAGATATGCGATAGCAAATGTCGTATGATGTTGTTTGCCGTGGACTTGTGTGCCGTCAAACTGTCATAAGATGCATCTTAATAAATTCGTGTATACATTTTAAATGAATGCACGTATAAGCGCACTCACACATGCATCCATGTGTTTCTCTGCAAAGAGAGAGTTTTTTCAATTTAGTTAAAAATTTATCGTCAATCGATAAGCATCATCATTTTACGCACATCCACACACACACGAACGCATATATCGTTGGTGTTATCTTCTCTCAACCGTACGCTCTTTGGTGCATTCAATACAATCTTAATTCTATCGTAAAATTGAGAAAATGTAATTTTTTTGTTGCGTTAGTAAAATATGAGTAACACGTAAGAAAAGAAATCGAGATTTATTTCTTATCCATCGAAACCGATTCATAATGTTATTATTGTTCAATGGATTGCTTGACAAATTATAGATCAAATAGTTTAATGTTTATAAGTACTTACTGAAAGACGACGTCATTGAAAAAACGACGATGATACAGATAAATACAGTATTTTTTCTTTTAATTCTTTATAAATTATATGTTTGGTGGCCCTGAAAAGGGCCGTTTTTATTTACAATGTTTCAATGTTGAAAGCGGATTTATGCTTTTTTGGTTTCGGTCTTCTTTGGCAACAAGACGGCTTG